CAATAATTTGCTTGAGTTTTTTTAATGACTCTCTGCACTTCACAAGCATGAATGGATGTGTTCAGCGATGCAGGAAGGTGGGTGTAGGCGGAGAATATGAAATGTTGACGGTTTGGGTAGTAGTACCTGCAAAAACGTTGATGTATTTTAGATGAGTCAATACCATGTCAAGATGTCTCATTTTGAATACGAAGATTCTGCCAAAGTTTCCATGTTTGTTCTTTCTTCAGATATCACCTTTTAATAGACTATCTTTCCATTCTGTTGCAAATGTCCATCTATCTGAAGATATAACTACTGAGCCTGTCAGTATTATGGAACTGCAGAAGTTATCTAAAGGTAATCAACACCATGAAGCTGCTGTGCCTGAGGAGGAAGGGTATGTTTCCTACATATGTCCTACTATTCTGACTCCCTATGAAATCATAATAAATTAAGTAAATGTATTATTTCAAAGTTGAAGGAGTGTTTCTTTTTGATAGATGTTGTAGAGTTCCACCAGAGAAAGCAAAGGTCCTGCAGCACAAGAGCGAAGCAGCAAGTCAGTTTACAGATGTGAGTATAAGAGAGAGGCAGAGATGCTTCATGTGTCCGTTTCATTTGCAAGTACATGAAATAAGTCTCCATAGAGAAATTTGTATGCATACAAAATAATAAAAAAACGCAGTGACAGAAATCCAGCAAACTTATAGGAATAAAAATACGGACATGGCTGCCTCTCACTCTCACCATAATGCTCCAAATATTATTGTATACCCTACAGCAACCAACCTTTTCGAGCCCAAGATCATTTTTAATACTAAGCGTAAGCCAAGATCTGCCACTCTGTTATTGTCTGTCGTCAATATGTTCTGCAGAGGAACTGCTACTGCAGCACAATGTTTTTATATACTGTATATGTCATTGGCCCATTGAAAAAAAGTTTTTTATCATCCCCTGCATGCAGACAAGGCTCAGTATATGAACTCGGCATAAACTCAGTATTGCTTTTGCGGTGCATATTTCTGCTAAAAGCAAACAACTCTTAATAGACAGACAGATCTGCCCTCGCTTTGCATCTGATGTGCATGATAGCATTGTGCATGCATATCGAGAAGGAATTATCACATATCAAATTTAGCTTTGGATGATTGGGGTATTTACAACATACAGGTATGCATTGCCCCTATAATGCTTTTAATTAAGACATGTTTTTATTAAATGTAACCAACACACCTGACCATACAACCTATATATTAATAATGACATTCACACCTCTTTGCAATAAATACGATTTATCATTCTCACAATCCATGATTTCTGCTCAAAATTAATATTTCTGTCTTACGTATTTTTCAGTTTGAGGGTAAAACCTCCTTTGGAATGTCTGTCTTCAACCTGAGTAATGCCATCATGGGCAGTGGCATTCTGGGTCTGTCATATGCCATGTCGAACACTGGCATAGTCCTTTTCCTGTGAGTACTGGAGATGTACATACATACATACACAACTGAATTTGATACACACACAGAGATGTTTTGTACCTGAGTGGCTCTCCAAAAATGAAAGACATTAGACAAACAGACTCACCAATAGAAGACAATGGTAATTTAATAAAGAGCTAATGCTAATGATGTGTAATGAAGGCTGCAAGTTTGCACATTTACACTGGTTTAACAAGTCTTCAGCTCTCATTCACTTGCCATCACTGTTGTCATGCTCAGTGACTTGCACATACTAAAGTTGACTTCTGTGAGATCAAACACAGGGCTGAGAATAATATAATATTTTAAGTTGAGAATTAGCATCTGTTTATATAAACAACGTTTATTTTACATTCACATTACACAGTTTTTGTTTTATTCTAAATCAGCTTTAACTTAACAGCAATCGAAAGGAGCAGTCTATGTTGTATAATGCATACATTCATTATCTATACTGCTTATCCTTTAAAAGTTGCAAGGGTTTGCTGGAGCCACCTTGGATGAGAGGCGTGGTAGAGGCCAGTCCATCATAGGACCAACATACAGACACAAACAACCGTTCACACTCACATTCACACCTACAGTCCATTTAGAGTCTCCAGTTAACCTTAACCCAAGCTACATATCTTCCAAAACTACCCCCCCCCCACCCTCGTTTTCCTCTGACATTTTTTCCATGCTGAGCTGCAGAGATAAAATAGTTTACAAGAGCAAAACCTATGATTACCTATTTCCCTAAAACAGACCCCTCACTTTAAGTGGCCACTCAGGTGTGTGCCACCTTAAAGACATGACAAACTGTACTGTGAAATGCACCATGGATCATTCGGACCATTTATGGTCTCTTTGGTCAAATAAAATGCTTCAACTTGGGTCCAGCATTTTTGTCATTCTGGTTGGACAACTGAAATGTCTTTTTTTTAACTTGGCTCCCTAACTCACATTTCTCCAGTTCTTATCACACTGTAATTAATGCCAGTGGCTTTTAGAATTCAGATCTAAGACTTCAAAGCTGTGCAATACAATATTACAATGAATCACCATGTAAGATGTGACAATGATGAAACTATTTACGATACCTGATGTCTTTTACAGGATCCTGTTGACATGCATTGCTTGTCTTTCATGTTATTCCATCCATTTGTTGCTATGCAGTGCTGGAGTTGTGGGTAAGGCTTCATTTCATGTAGAAAATACTGTCAGAAGTAAAATGTTTTACAAGGCCCAATGTCAATGTCTCTTCACTTTCCCCCTTCTTTATATGCAATTCAATTGAGATTTATTTGTATAGCGCCAAATCACAAAATACATTACCTCAAGACACTTTAAATAGTAAGGTCAAGACATTATTATAGAGAAACCAAACAGTTCTCACAATTAGCAAATAGGAATAAGTAAGAAAAACGTCCTTTTAACGAAACCTCTAGCTGAATCAGACTTGACATGGGTGATCATCTGCCTTGATTTGCTGGGTTGAGTGAAGAAAATGGGCGGGGCACTGATGCTCTGGATGTTCATCAGATGTTCTGATGCTATTAATGATAGCAGCACCAGTTAATAGTAGTAGTAATGATAATGATATAAACCTATTACACATTTTAATCTTGTTAAAGTGGCAGAATGTCCACACTTATTTAACATGCTACTTTGTTGTTGATATGTCAGGTATCAGAGCCTACGAGCAGCTTGGTCTCAGAGCTTTTGGTCATTCAGGGAAGATTCTTGCAGCTGTCATCATAACATTACATAACATTGGAGGTAAGATCTCAAACAGTTGTTCTAAATGAAGTTTTTATGTCACATATTTGGGTGGAGGAGGTGCTAAAACATTTTGCCACAGGAACCAAATTTGCCAGAACATCAGTATTTTGAGGGAACATGTAAACACTCATTTTTACACCTTTTCTGTTTTTTTTCTCCTTTACAGCCATGTCAAGCTACCTGTTCATTGTAAAATATGAGCTACCATTGGTCATCCAAACCTTGCTTGGCCAGTCACCCAGCTCTGAGTGAGTACTGCCAACAACCTTGAAATCAACAAAATGTATAAAATTCTGTTTGGATTTTGTGTCCTTCACAGAAATTTACAGGTCGAAGATTAAGAGAAAACAATATGATTCTGGTGGTTTTAGTATATATCACTTACTTTTTCCTTTTTGATTTGTATCGGCTGCTATATGGGTTATAAAAGAGTTGCAATTTATTTTATTCTAGGCAAATTGCAATATAGCAAAGACAGAGCTTGAGATTTGTCAACAACTTTGTTACCTAAGAGCTCAGAAGTCCCTCAACTTGTCTGTTGTAGAAAAGTAGAGGGGCGCTCGGCTGCCCTGAAAAGGACTCAAGCTCCTCTGAAAGACATTAGCTCTAAAAATGTTCCACTTTTGTGTCAAAGATTATATTTTATTTTACGTACATTATGGTTCCTGAAATAAAGAAATATAAGAGTAAATATGTCAATGTTGTGTATTTATTCATTCATTACATTACATTTTCCGAACATTTGTCTCCACTATTTAACACAATTCTGTTTTTATTCCTGCTGTGGCGTTCCATGTGTGGTGGCACTGAACATAAATTACTTCTGAACTTCTCATCTCTGAGTTGGGGCGTGATATTTGAATAGACTGTAAAACAAGCAGTGCTTTTATTCAGTATTTTGGGCGGTTTATGGATAAGTCAGAATGTGAAAATGGAAAAAAAACAAGCCTCAGACAATTTAGATTCACTAAACAAACAAAGACAACAACGAGTGATGACAACACTGGTTGGGTGGCTGTGGCTGAGGGGTAGAGCGGTCGTCCTCCAACCAGAAGGTCGGAAGTTCAATCCCCAGTCTTCCCATCTGCATGCCAAAGTGTCCTTGGGCTGAACCCCAAATTGCCCAATAGAACAACAACAACAAAAAAAGTGCTAGCTATAGAAGCACTGTATGTATGAATGTGTGCGTGAATGGGTGAATGGAAAACTGTAGTGTAGTCATCAAGACTAGAAAAGCACTATATAAATACATTTAACAGTGCACCAACTACAGGGCTGAACCTGGTGATGCATCATTGCCTTTGAATTGGGTAAAGAAGCAATGGAGTGACTGAAAAAAAACAGGTATACATGGCTTTTCGCTCTTAATCGTCATAATCCACAGACAGAAGTGAAATGTTGGAGAAGTGAACTAACAGTGACAGTCAATGACAGAGCAATAGAGAGGGAGAGAGAGGGAAATGCAAACCGCAGACAGCTGTTTTATTTTGTTGTTAAAAACAAGTTTGCTAAATAATCAGTATTTTTTGATCAAGTGATGTGTTGTTCTTGAAGGGGTGTATATGAGAAGCAGAAAGACAATGCCTGTGTTAGATTTATTCCTTGATTTTTATGTTGTTGTTATTTAGCCTGTTTGAAATGTACTAACTACCTGTAGTAATAACAGTAGGATGATTTTCACAGTTACCCTGACTTCACTGTGTTCTCATGCACATGACATGTTAAGTACTGGACTGGTGCACACTGGAAAATAGGGCTCCCCGGAAAGCCACTGTGTAATTCGAACCCTGAACTGTATGTTGCTCTACTTCCAGCTTGCTTTGATGTTGTTGATGAATCATTGGCTCACACTCTAATGGTTGTTCAGTCAGTAACACTTTGTCCTGATTTACCCATTTATTGCACAATGGGAATACCACTTACAGGTTCAGATTAGATCAGCATGGTGGTGCAGTGTTTTCCCAGTTTTTGCTTGGGTTTTTTATGGTACTCCAGCTTCCTCCAAAAGTCCAAATACTTAGGGTTAGGTTAATTGACTCGTAGGTGTGTGAGAGTGAAAGGTTGTTTGTCTTTGTCTGTTGGTCCTGTGATGGACTGGCAACTTGTCCATGTGTCTTTTGCCCAATGTCACCTGGGATTGGCTCCAGCTTCCCCTGCGACCCTCTGAGGGTAAGCAGTATATATAACAGATGGATGGAAGGTTCAGCTTGTTATTACTTGTTTCTGATAACATTGTGGACAGGATTCCAGTGATAATTTCAGCTGACCATATACAATTTTATTAGTCTAAACAACATCTCTCAGCTGAACCAACTGAACAACTATTTTACTTTACATGTTTTTATGCACTGAACAACACCACTGCACAGAAGTCATCAGCCAAATTCAGCCAATCAGGGGTACATATTTCAGAGGGCCTTTCCTGGAAGAACAACACCTTATCACTGGCCAAGAGAGCTCAGCAGCACATGTACTTCCTCCCTAAGCTTAAGTGAACAAGAGCACCATCATCAATCATGTACACCTTCTACCGAGCCTCCATCAAGAACATCCCGACCAGCTGCATCACTGTGTGGTTTGGGAGCTACACAGTCGCCAACCGCAGGAGCCTCCAGTGCATTGTGAACGCAGCTCAGTGCCCTGTCTAGGAAACAAGCCCGGGGCCTCGATGCTGGTTCCACCAGACTAAAAAACAAATTCATCCACCAGGCTGACAGGATGCTGAACTCTCTCCCCTTGCCTCCAAGGACTGTACCATTCCCCCACCCCCCACTACCACCATCAACAGATTTCTAAGCCCTCCATCTCCTTTAGCAAAGACGTCCTTGTTCTGTTTTTGCGTACTTTTATGTTCTGTCTACTTATATGATGAGAGAAGGATGACAGGCGACTGTGGAGAGAAAAACTCCCTCATGCCACAAATGGCAGAATTGACAATAAAGTTGACTTTGACTTAAGTCAGTGCCACTTCTCTGTGCATGGGTTGAAGACAAACAAAGAAATAACCTTTTGACAGAAAATATTGAATACACAGAATTTGTAAATATGTGTTAATATGAGTGTGATGTCTTGTGTTTTGCATCCAGCGACTGGTTCATGAATGGAAACTACCTCATCATCATTGTCACCGTCTGCATCATCTTCCCGCTGGCCCTGATGAAACACCTGGGTAAGTCAACTGATTCAACATTATAATCAACAACTTCTCAGTTTGGGCCCAACAAGGCCATTGATTATTTCATGTCTTGTGAGAGATCTCAACACCAGCAAATTTTGATTTATATTTAGTCATAATCCTTTGATTTAAATGATATTTAGTTTGTCATAATTTAGTCATCTGATTTGTTAGGTTTTAGTCTAGATTTAGTAGACTAAATATCACAAGATTATAGTTGACTTAATATACAGTAGATTTAGTTGACTCAAATATAAAGTGTAAAGGGTTGTTTTATCCCTTGAATTCATGAATAATTTACACCTCAATGAAATTATACATCTATTCAATTCAAACAAGATATGCATTATTCATAACAAAATGCATGACATTCTTCATGAAATTGAATACTGTAAAAGCAGCAGTGCCATTAGTGCAAAAAAACACATAACAAAACAAGTGAACTATCGATAATGTAGTGCTCCATGTTAGGTCTTTTAACAGCTAAAAGTGCAAAGGCTATAATCCCATCAGATCTGCTATCCTTGAATAAGTAGTGCTACTCTTACATATTAGATGTATTAAAATAATAAACTGTAGTTGTTGCAATCACTGTTCACTGTATTTAGGTCGACATTCTCAAATATGTTTAACTAAGAAGACCTATAATGCCATCAGGAATTAAGAAAAATAATGTCTACAAATATTGAAAACATATTTCTCAAAGGCTGTCAGTAGCAGGAAGTGCGACTAATCGTTTTTTTTTTGCATTTTCAACATCAAAATAATAACTGCTAAGCTGCAGTTCCATTAGTTCATGGAGCTAAAAATCTACTCTGCTCTCTCTCAGCATTGACAACAGCAGTAATAATCCCATAAAGAAAAACAAAACACATCAGTACCTTACAATCAGTACATATTGTTGCTACAGAATGCAACACAATGCAAACACACAGTAGGGTTGACGTAGCAGGCAGCTTTTACAAGTGGTGAGAACTTTTCATCGATTGGATCCAAACGGCAAACAAAATGCAGGTTCACACTTCCTTTCATTTTCTGTGGAAATGTGGCAAAGTCGCGCTGGCTAGTGTACGCAGAAGGGTTTGAGCATGTGCTGCAAAAGGCAGCAGTAGTTGTTGCAATGACTTCAGCTTTTGCCACTAACTAGGGAGCAAGTGTCCCATCCCATGTCATTTGAGATTTGGCAGAGTCCTTCACCTAGAGGAATGGTGCAACCATGTTGAATGTGCTTGACCAGCGTGTGGGGCAGTTGCTTTAGACTTTACTTTATGAAGGACTCTCTTGACACCTGCCTCCTTCTGTATCACGTGGATGACGAGCTATAAGGTGTGCACCACACACGGCATTCGTTCCATATGCATGGTGGTAAATAACAAGAGGAAGACAGATAGATAAGCATAAGTATACAAAAGGTTCCTATTTAACCATCAAAGTCTTACTTTTTAAAACTAATTTTAAAAATGGTTCACTGCATGTCATCAGTTTCAGGCTCAGAGTCAGTTTTGGGTTTCTTCTTCCTCTGGTGTGGTGTGCTTAAATGCTGCCACCATATTACTCCCATTGTCTGTTATTACTGTGATAATCTGCTAATTTGGTATGTCCTACTCTTGCATACATTAATCCACTCATGCTTTGATTGATTGTGCAGTGTGTGGGTGGGCTATTGGTTCAATGGCCAACAGTATGGGTTCTGGTTTATATTGTTCAACACAAAAGTAGCATGAATTTATAGCCAGGAATTAAGCAGTCAGTACTTTTTTGTCCACCAGTCAATGCCAATAGATACCCTCCGGGCAGCAGAATAATCTCTTTCTGAATTTAAATATATATAATATAATGTTTGTCAATAAGATTGCTTATTTGAGTTTTCTTTGGAACATACAGCCTCCTATCTACTGTCTCTATCATAAGAACAAGTTCTCATCCTCAATATCAGTTACTGGTAATCCTCTGCATCCAATCCATTTTGCTGTAGCCTCCTTTGCTCCTGTGCTCTTTTGTACTTGGAAGCATTTAGAAGAGCTGTTGAAATATTCTGCTGGGACGCTCTCTCACTATCTTTGCACATGGTGGCCCACTGTGGTCCTCTGAGGTTTTCTGTACTCTGTGACAAGAGTAAGAGAAGCAAAATCAAGTTCAGCTTTTCTCATAACACCTATTAAGTTTCTTAAAACTTGTGTTGTGTTTGAGTGTGATCTGGACCCGAAAGCAGACACAGAGAGGAATTGGTTGTGAATGATTAGAGTTTTTAATGTAGAGCTGAGGGTGAGCAGGAAACTCTATGAACTGGAGAAAAGGCAGAGGAGCCATGGCAGTCCTGAGGCACAAGGGAAAAATAGCATTAGTAAGAACACACTCACACAGGGAAGGAGGAGAAAAGGAGGGGAACACAGAGAGCAGGGAAAAACACAATAGAAGTGGCTGGAGCCGTGACAACAGTCAGTCAAAGTGTTTTTTAACATTCATGGGTCATTTACTTCTGTAATCGGTAACATTAATTTAACAGGACAGTGGTGGTGTGATTTCAGGATGACTCGCCTACAAATGTTGCTTGAAATTGTTATGTTTCCACACGGTTTACAAAGAGTCTTGTTTTCCTTGAAATGTGAAATGTGTCCATAGATCTGCTTTTTTTCTCCTAGGCATTGATATTTTGTTGCATTACAGTTTCCTGAGAAACAGAGTGGGGGCAAGCTGTACCTCTTTCCCAGGGGTAGATTAAATGTGTGTGTCTAACTTCCTTATCGCCTTAGCTTAGTTCTGATTGGATCTCTTCCCAACTCGTCCCTTTCTTTTACAAAACTTAATTAGTCCTGATTGGATTTGATCTCTGATGAACATTTTCATCTTGTTTTTATGCGTTGACGGGAGTGTCAATACATTTCACACAGTTCTGTCCGTGTGCTTTAGTTTTTATTAAGTAATCGTCTTGTTTTTGTCAACAAAATACACAATGTTTCCTTATTGTGTGGTATAAACTGAATTTGGTACAGCCTCCACAAAGTTTAAAGGAGACAAACATGTTTTTTTTCTCTCCAATATAGTTCAAAAAAACTTATGGAAATGTACCTTAAAATTGTACAAACCGAGGTTTGTTTTCTCTCACTTGGCAGGATATCTTGGTTACAGCAGCGGATTCTCTCTTTCCTGCATGGTCTTCTTTCTCTCTGTGGTGAGTCTGTGGGTCACCACATCAGTTTATGAATATTGACACAGCAGAAGAGGTCAGTTAAGAACCACGGGGCAATAGCAGTTACTAAAGGACAAACAACAAGGGTCTCAAATTCAAATTAGCTACAACTGCTGGTAGTGTCATCTCGTGGGAGGGCCACCTCAATGTTCTAATAGTACTATATTATATTTAATTTAATATAAAATATTATTTTTGATATTTCACAACATTTAAAAAAAGGACTTTATTTCTGTTACTAACATTATGGACAAAATAGAAACAGCTGTTTTTACATAATTTTTCACACAACAAAAATATCCCAGAATGCATTTGTATTTTATGTCTCGCCAGACGCCTGACACTGCTTCTGCTCATATTTTCTTCAAAACTTGTACTGACAGATGAAATACCTGAATACATTCATGTGTTGCCCGTCACTGTCATCATAGCTGAGCCACATTTGACCTGATGCAGGTTGCAAGTTGAAATCCTGAGTATACCTTCAGGGTGGGCATCAGTAAAGCCTGGACCTGCACTTGCATTTATTTATTGTTTTCATAAAATTCTTTGAGGGCCATACTAAAGAAAGTTGTTAAAAAAAATTGAGGTGGGCCTGTCATAACAAATTGTGTGGGACATTATATTGTCCCAGAAATTATGTGATGAATGATATTATTGTCATCATTATGAAACCATTTTACACCACCAACCAAAACAATAAATAAAATGGTCTCTCTGGTGTGTGTGTGTGTCTATGTGTCTTGTGAACTCTGGAAAGAATCAAATAAACTTCAGAACTGCTCATTTGTGTTGCTTGGGATTGAGTGTTATTGGTCCCAAAATGGGGAAATTTGCAGATATCAGCAAGTAACATGCAAAAACACAGAACATAGTTTAAGGAATATTATAGAAACATATGAATGTAATTAAACTAGTATATACAGTGTAAAGACAGGAAGAAATATATGCAGTGTGAGGATATTTACAGTGAATTAATAGCACATGAGCATTTTTATTATACAGATGAATATTGCACAGTTGAGACTTAAAGTGTTAAAGTGCAGTCTAGTGGTGGTGAATGTGGTTTTTACTGAGAGCAGAACTGGTTATATAGTCTTACTGCTGCAGGAAGTAACGTCCTGCAATACCTCTCCATTATGGCCACATAGTTTGTATTGTTTTGGTTTTTATTTTTTTAACAGCTCTTATGACTGTGTTTTTTTAGCCTAGTTGGTAAGTTGCTACAGTGACAGAGATCTAAAATATGGACTTATTTTGTCATTGGCATGGTTCAGTCATGCACAGATATACTGAATTCTGTTGCTTGCATTCCATTAGGTGCAATACAAGCAGGAATAACAAATGTACTAACAGTAGATGACATGTCATCGAAGAAGTCAGTGTAGGGATATCAGAAACAAAAAGCAAGGCAACAGAAAGGTGGGAGGTAGACCAAGGACGAACAATTAATCACAGTTTTTTTCCAAAGGATAGTATTTATTTATGGACCTTCCCTTCGTGCCCGTTAACACATGATGTTTAGCTACTTAGCCAGCATTAAACATTTACAGTGCAGTGTCATTTCACTTAAATATTATTATATAAATTGTGGATCTCAATGAATCTGTTGCCAGCTAGTGCACACTCTTGCTTTTTCACTTATCAGGACTGTGCATCATGCACAGATGCAGCTTCAGTTGAAGAAGGTGAGCTGAGAATATGTTTACTGCAGGTCAAAGGTCATGGTGACCTGATATGAGTCTGAAAAGAAAAACTATTTAGACTGAAATGCACGGATTGGCGAAGGCATACAACAACAGGGCCCGAGCACTAACAGTACAATGACCCTGTTGGAATTGTTCCGATACTTTTTGGGGGCCTAAACATACAGGTCAAGTGAAAATGTATAAATTTTACAAAAGTGTGTCTACAAATATTCACAGAGGGTCTACCTATTCATTTACTTTCACCGGGAGAAATTGAATGTAGCATACATGTTATGCTACAATTCCAGATTTGATCGCACCAACTTCAAATTTTGTATGTGTCATGTTAGGGACTTTTCCATTAAAATGTTCATTGTTTTGGGGTTTTTTCGTTAGAGGACTGTCCGTGGCGGTAAATTTCAATAATTCACCAGAAATTACTCAGCACCACCACTCATATCCAGTTTACAGAGGCAGTACATCTCAGTAAATACACTTTTAATGTTAGCTAACTAAGAAATAAACTCCTGCAAACTTGCTATGGTGAGTGTAATTTGGATGTGAGGGGGCTGAGTTCAGCAGAGGGCATACCACATCCACAGAGTCATTCCTGCATGCTTGACATCTCTTTTTTTTTAACCCTCTTCCAGAACAAACAGAAGTGCAATATACAGTATGTCTCAGGCAACATAGCACATCAACAAAATAACAATATGTACAAAATTCATGTGATATGGGAAGTGGATATGGCACCTACCATTTTGGTAGAAAATGTCAATATTCTACTGATACCTTTCCTACACGTGTGTGTGTTTGTGTGAAATTTTGCATTTTTATATGCCAGGTAGTCATACATTGCATTTAAAAGGGTGTAGAAATGAATATTTGAGTTATGTGCACTGAAATTAAAAGGTAAAAAATAAAATGATTGAAAATTAAGAAAAAAAAACTCCTTGATCTTACAAATTATTCAGATGGAGTACATTTTTGGTGGTAGACAATTATGCAGTGATAACTAGTGTTGTCTCTGTGACGCTTTCTATGTATCTCAAGGTTGAATCCTTTTCTGTGTGATGTTTTTGGAAAGCAGCAGCATTCAATATATCAGTTCCATAGAAAGACAAGGTAATGAAGAGTTAAGATACCAGCCAAACAGTATATGTTTTTGAAGTTTCCAAAAAGTACGCAAAGGTATATTGGTTTGTTACCATAGACAGTAAAGGTTGCATTTGTTTTACTTCCTCAAACTCTTTTTTTCTCTCTCTTACATCAGGTCATCTACAAGAAATTCATCATCTCTTGTCCTCTGGAAGTGTTTAGTAACTTCTCTGTGAACACATCTCTCCCAGACGACACATGCACCGCCAAATTCTTCACCATCAACCAAGAGGTCGGACACTAATTCCTTGAACTTTAAGCAGGAGAGACTTGATTCACGATTTAACAATGTTTATTTGACAAGTGCACAGAAGAGATGTGAATGCTGTAGTCTTTGGCATTTTAAGACCCCTCTGTGATATCATCAGAATAGAAGTGGGTGAAGCAGAGCGTAGAACAGGAACCGCCCCGGGGTCTAGACACTGGTGGTGGTTCAATCAGTCAATCAAATTTGTTTGGATGGCCTATATCCACGAACATTGCCCGACAGGGCTTTAAAAAGTGCAGCGTCCTCTGCCCTTATCTCTCAAAAAGAGTAAGGAAAAACTACAAAAAAAACTATTAACAGAGGAAAATGTAAAAACCTCAGGAAGAGCCATATGTGAGGGATCCCTGCAGGACGGACACAAGGGCAATAGATGTCACATGAAATAGGTATATTGTGTCACGCAGTCTCACTGAATTAAACCCGCAATCAGCTGCCACCAAGATCAGATGCCGCCATAATCCACAATTCATCATCATGATCCACTGACACTATCGATGCCAACACGATACAGGATTATATATACGATCACGATCAGTTGAGGTCGAGGATCAGGATGAGGTGATGATGATTCTGCTGAAGACCGGAGGAGATTGGGGTGGAGGAGGGATATGCGCATCACTGAATGACAGCTCAAGAGAGGAGACAGGATTTAAAGTTTGATTGGCTGCAAGAGACCGTGGCAGAATCTGATTGGCCCTTTAGGAATGTCCACAACCAGCTTATCAATAAACAGGTCAAGTCTTTCTGACTAAACTTACACTGAGCTTTATGTTTATTAACTATTACATTTGAAGGATAGCAAAAGCACACACTATGGGACAGCAAAAACATAAAGTAAGTGACAAGTAGTAACATCAAAACTCATGGTGGTTCAGAGGTAGAAAGACAGAGAGTGACAGAGATACGTGCTCAATGCATGATGGGAGTTTCACTAGCAGTCTAGACCTATAGCTTCATAACTAAGTGATGGTTCAGGACTCACCTGATCCAGAACTAACTATAGGCTTTATCAAAAAGGAATGTTTTAAGTCTAACCTTAAATGAAGAGATGGTGTCTGCCTCCTGAACCCAGAGTGGGAGCTGGTTCCACAGGAGAGGAGCTGAACTCCCACTTCTACTCAGGTTCTAGGAAACACTAGAGAGCTTGTGTTTTAGGGGTGATCTATTTAGTTACAATTTTAAGAACCTCATGAAATCATTACTACTAAGAGTTAAATGAATAGATGGATCAGTAGAGCTTTGACTCTGTCACTTGCTATAGTGCTGAGGAGGTTACTGGGGTTGTTCTTATTTTCTTCTATTAAGGATGAATAATAGGAAGTTACCAACTAGTGTGGGAGTGAAGGTTGTCATAAGCTGATGTCATATGTTGAAATCACCTACTATAACATCTTTATCTGTGTTGAGGTTTGATTGATAAGTCAAATCTAAAGATTGCTGTGACACCTCCACCTCTTCTTTTGCTTCGAGGAACATGAGTGTTAATGTTGTTGAGGGGTGTCACTTCATTTAAACCCACATATTCATCTTGTTGCAGCCAGAATTCACCCAAACAGAATAGATCGAATTGATGATCAGTTATCAGATCATTGACAAGTAGTGATTTGGATCCTAATATTTAACAGTCTACATTTTATTGTTTTATTTTGTGGTTCTGACGAAGTGCTTGTATTTATGTTTCCTGTTTACTTTTTATTCAATAATTTAGGTGGTCAGGGGCAGACATAGTTTCGATAGGGTGATTGGGGGGTGACTCCTCTATCAAGAGAAGAGAAGTGATAGACTGCAACTCTGCCTCCTGGTTTCAACTCTGCACAGTCCTTACGTGATACAACATGCTCAGCACAGCACAGGAGACAGTGTGCTTAGAGTGTGTGTGTGGTCAGAAACTATTTGTGGGTGCATCATATGACTGGGTATATGGCTGACTGTGTTAAGAGTTCATGCACTTTCTGGAAAATAACCAAATGTTAATGTTAACAAATGTTTCTGTCATGTGATTTGCAGACGACATATACCATCCCCATCCTGGCCTTTGCTTTTGTATGTCACCCTGAAGTGCTTCCCATCTACACTGAACTGAGCAAGTAAGATGCACATATGAAAATGTTCTCCCATCTCCCTATTTATAACCTAATATACATCTAGAATGTGTACAATGTAAAGCAAACTTGAGCTTGTTGTTCAAAACTGATGTGGAAACCCCACAGAAATGATTGCTTTTAATAGAATGCAGCAAAAGGTCACTTAAAACGTTGTTCTAAGTCACTGGATGTAAAGCCAAGTAAAAGTAAAACCATAATTAGCTTACTCATGATGTGCTGTTGGGTTTCTCTATAATAATGTAAGGTTTTGACCTTACCATGTAAATGTAGGTTGTGATTTGTGTCTAATCTAACACAAATACTATTTAACTGAATGAAGTAGGCAGCGGTGCCTGTAAAGACTCTTCTGCTGGCGTAATAGAAACTGTTCATGCCAGTTCATTAAGCAAGAGTAATAGCTAAGGGTTGATTCAGCACCAGGTGACCAATGTTTCTGAACTGTGGCTGGTTTTGCCAAAAGGTACCTCACAGTTAAAGGATATAACTCTGATTTTATTTTAGATTTGACAACCTTATGTATTAGTTGTAATGAAATATGGAAAAATGGTGGGTCAAATGGGTCCAAAAATATCAACAAGATCAGAAGCAAACCAACAGTTAATCCAGATTATTTAAGACACCATTATTATTATTTTTTTTTCAATGAATGCTCTTACTTTTACAATTGAAGTTTTCTTTAACCCTTATGGCTACATTAAAAAAAAGGAATTTTGGCACATTCATGTGAAAAACTGCTATAAAACTATAGCTTCAGCCCTAATCATAAATTCAAATCAAAATCATTCAGTTTCAAAGAGATTCTTCATTTGTTTTATGTGAGAGGGTTAACCTGGCATTTGTCATTGATGAGCAACAGCATGAACTTTTTTGCATCATTATTTTTTGGGTAGTGTCACATTTAAAAAACACTACCCTCTCGGCTCCTTCGTGGACAACAATGTCCACTCCCTAAATCTGCTGTGATACGCTAAATATATCAATATTTTAGTTTTTTTTTACCAACATCAGTTCTGATCATAATGTCAGTTTTTTGAATTATATTGTTTTTATCCTTTAAAATACCAGTTTGTTTGCATTAACACCAGTTTTTGTGTTAAAAACCCCACAAAAGATGAAACATTTTCCACACACCATATGATAATGAGATTTATTTTGGTTTGTCTAGTTTATTCAACCCTGATTAACTGAGCAGACTATGGCTGTGTCTTTCTTACCGACTAAAATAATACATTTTACAAAAGTAAAAAAACATTGTTATCAATAATAATTAATAGTCTTTCTTTACACTGTTACTGTTTACATTTTAACTCGTCAGATCTGATACCTGATGGTGCTCAAGTGTTCCTGGTCACACAAAGACACACAAAGCCAAAATGATCAAAAAAGGCAAAAAAGAAAAAGAGAAAAATGTCACCAGGGTGCCAACTTTCCTGAAATCAGACTATAGCAATATGTATGTTTACTTTGTTTCTTTATCATGAACTGTATTGCTAAAGCAACTGCCATCTTGTTCATTTAAAGCCCAACCAAACGAAGAATGCAGAATATTGGCAATGTTTCCATCCTGGGAATGTTCATCATGTACTTCTTCACTGCCATATTTGGCTATCTGACCTTCTATGGTGAGAGCAACATCTCTTTATGTATTTGCAAAGCATAGCTCTGTTAAGTGCCAGAGAGCAGTCACAGATTGTGTGTGTGTGTGTGTGTGTGTGTGTGTACATGCAGAGAACACTGAGCCAGAGCTCCTCCATACCTACAGTAAGGTGGACCTCCTGGACACTCTGATCCTGTGTGTTCGATTGGCTGTCCTGGTGGCTGTCACGCTGACTGTACCTGTGGTCTTGTTTCCCGTGAGAATGAATCTTGCTTTCATACACACAACCATCTGACACACACTAACATAAATAAAATACAAAAGTAGGTGGGCAGGGTTATACAAATTACGTAAAACCTGTGTTCAAATAACGCATACAGGAAAACGACACGCCAATCTCTGAAAATGGCCAATTGAAAACACAGAATAAGAACAAGTGGTACCTCTAGAGCTTCCTCTAGAACTTTCTTCAGAACAAATTGGAGGAAAAACTCAAGATATTAGTGAATGAGGCCCATTGAGACAAAATAAATGAGATACATTTACAGATTTTGGATTTAAAGGTCAATTGCAAGGAGCAGGTTCACAGAGTCATTCAGTTACAGATTTTATTGAGCTCATCGCTGTATATGATGATAATTCTGCTGCCTTTTTGTCTGTGTTTCTGTCAGATCCGCCGGGCCCTCCTGCAGATACTGTTTCCAGGGAAGCCCTTCCACTGGCTTCGTCATAGCGCTATAGCAGTGTGTCTGCTGTTTACTGTCAACCTGCTGGTCATCTTTGTTCCCAATATTCGAGATATCTTTGGCATAATTGGTGAGATTTTAGACTTACGAGCAAAGCCTGAACAAAAAGGAAATGTGTATAAAAGAAACATAGTGCAGCTCTACAAAGAAGTCCAATAAATCACCATGAAGATAAATGAAAAATAACATCACACTTAAAAACAAGTTAATTATTCAAATTATCATAAAACACAAAGATTTATAGTATCACCAAGTGACAACTTCCTCTGAGATACATTTTGTTTTACAATGCAATGATTTATTGTGACTTCTTTGGGTGTTCAGGAGCCACGACTGCTCCCAGTCTGATCTTTATCCTTCCTGGACTGTTCTACATCCGCATCATCCCCTCTGACCAGGAGCCAATGAACTCCAGACCAAAGATACAGGTGGGTACATACGTATCTCTGCCTGACTGAAAGGGGTGAGACTTCAAAACACCCTTGGAGAACAAAATAGTTAATGGAAGCATAATAAGAACAATGGGCCTCATTCACCAACCAATCTCAAGAGGAAATGTGTTCTTAAAACCCACTTTTTTATTTATTCTTGGGTAAGAGCTGAATCTATGCACAGTCAAGAGCACTTACACACACTTGACTACTGACACTGTTGTGCAAAATAGTGTTTTTTATGTCTGTCAGTTGGTCCATCCCATTCTTGTGAACATGATATCTCAAGAATCTTTTCAAATTTGGTGCAAATATTTAGATTTTGGTGGTCAAAGGTCAAGGTCATGGTGGTTTCATAAAAAATGTTTTGAGATGTATAGTGGCTATGTAGTTTGTTTATGTTTTTCCTTGAGCAAGATATCTTAAGAGCAGTTTGAGCAAATGTCTTAACATTTGGTGCAAACATTCACTTGGGCTAAAAGATTAAGTGATTTCTGATGCCTCAAGGTTAAGAGTCTAGGTCACAATGACTTCATTGTGAATTTGATATATCAGGACTACCTGTCGGGAATTTTAATACATCTGACACATTTCACTTTGACTAATGAATGGCCTGATTAGAATTTGACGGAGGCCACTAACCTCATTTTGCATTGTGAATGTCATGGAGTTCAAAAATCATGTTTTTGGCCTCTTGAATGTGATATTTCAACACAGACTTCAACTTTTGATCAGTTGTCACTTAGATTCAAAGATGAAGTGATTACATTTCAGTGGTCAAAGGTAAAGGTCGCAGTGAATTCATCAAATCAAAATCAATAAAATGTATGTAGAAATATGTACACAGAAATGTGCCATGCAGACGGAACACTTGGGAAACCAGTAGGTCTGCAGTTTCCCTAGAGCAGGGGTTTCAAACTCCTTTTAGTTAAGGGACCAAATACTGCCCACTTTGATCTCAAGTGGGCCAGACCAGTAAAATCATAGCATGCCAACGCATACATAACGACAATAAAAATTTCATTAATAATTTATCCTTGTTTAAATCATCTGTGAAGGTTTGTTGATGATAAACCCTATTTTAAGGTCTTTCTACAATAAACTAGAAACATAAAGACCAAAAACTCAGACATCAGCCCACAGTTTATCTGCATGGGCTCTCCTCTGCAGATTCTCTTGCTTTGTGATGCGTTTGATGTCAAAGCTGCTGCCCGTGGCAATAAGCGCTTCTGCCTCCCGAGCAGACATCGCATTAACGCTGTTTTTGAAGCAATTACTGGATCGATTAAAAAAATGACTAAACGTTTGTACTCATAAACCTTCATATTCTTAAGAGACATTCTGATTCACAACCCTTGAAATTTATTGAGAAAAACAAGTGCAATTACACCAATACTGTGCTTCAGTTTCTCATTTACACATTTGCATTACAACTTCAGATCACAGTTGATCTACAGAGCAAAACATTTAGTCACAGGTATTTGGAACTGAAAAATATTGTACTTGACTTTATAACAAAATAAACTTCTCAAGATCTGAAAAATATTTTAAATGTAAACTCTTTACTTGTTTTACAGTGCGATCCCCAGTGGACTGATTAAGAATAGCAGTTACTTATATAGAAATGCAATTTATGTCTTTCTGTAATTTTCACACTTAGCAAAGTCATCCGGCAGGCCGAGCTGGACCCCCTGGCGGGCCGGATCCGGCCTGCGGGGCCGTATGTTTGAAACCCTGTCCCTAGAGGATTGGGAGCTTGGAGAGAGGAATGAAGTGAGCCACTTTAGAAAATGTATCGATTATGGGGAGGATGACTGAATTACTGTTAGATGGGGAAGGCTAGTGACTCTGTCAGAGTCTGAAAAATCTCCCAAAAAAATGAGCCAACCTGGCTTGGCAGGAGTTCAAATGTTTGGCGAGGATGTTTCCAATGTCGTAGTTCCTTTCTGCAGATGAGAGCTTCTGAGAAAAGAATGCACATGGGGGAAGCTTCTGATCAACGTTGTGACAGAACAGCACCTACCTCAAACATTTCATGAAGAAAAAGAGACATTTATTTTCATAAGAAAGTACGTGTATGTATATATAAATATACATTTCTTCTAAAAAAAAAATTTAGTGACGGTAGTCATAAGTCTTTGGTTCTCTAAGAAGACAAAACATGTTTTAAACAATGTCAGACAAACGTTGCAATTGTGTCTTTCCCCTTGTATAGCTAAACCCATCATCATGTATGTTTTCATGAATCACTTTGACCTGAGATGTAAAAAGACTTGAGATGGGCCTTTATTGCCTGCTCGCTGACACTACGAGAAGTAGAGAGCGTCTGACCGGTGCGTTTTTGGTAGTTCACCCCTTCAGCTGCCGGCAGATCAAGTCTCGGTTGCACCTTATCGGAATAATCAATATAAGAACACAGGTGCAAACAATTCTGGAGTTTAAGAACACATCATGAAAATGACAAAGAGTTTTCTGAGGAACTTCCTTAAGAAAACTTCTTAGGAAAAAATGAATGAATGAATGAGGCTCAAATGTATCTAACAGTCAGAAGAACAGAGGAAAGAAGGATTCTCTAATAACATATTCTCTTTGGGTTTTTAGGCTGCATGTTTCACAGTGCTGGGTTTCATATTCATGACCATGAGTCTGACATTCATCGGGATTGACTGGTTGAGTGGAGAAAAGCGAAGTCTCGGTGGTCATTAGAGAGCAGTCCTCTGGATACCGAGAAAGATTCCATCTACCGCAGGAAGGATCATGGATTCATTAGTCATATGGACAGTCAATTCCTCCAGAGTGTTAAAAGGAACCCAGTCACCCACTCAGGTTGATTTAATATATATATATATATATATATATATATACCACCAGGATTCTATCACATGTGATGCTCGTCTGTTCTATATGAGGAGTTGATGAACATGTTGACCATGGAAGTCCTTCACCCATTAAAAGCTATTTTCCTTAAGAGGAGCTATATGTGGCGTATAATAACGGCAATATTCAAAGCAAATTGGGCCAATGTCTTCTGTGGGTATATGGTGATAATAAAATAAAATATCATAAAAATAAAAGATCCTTCAGAGATGAGATATGACATATGAGATAACATTCCTAAATGCATTCAGATAATTCACTTCAATTGATGGATAACATATTGGATTCCTGCAGAGCAGTATCTGGCAAACTGGGAAAAAATGTGTTTGAAGCCACGTTTGAATTTAAGTTTTTACAACAGTCAAACAATTAAATTATTATGATTAAATTATGAATTCATTATGGACAGCATGTCTGGATATGTTGAATAAAAATGCATGAAATATGTAAAAAATATATGTTTTTTGGGGAGAAAAATATGCTGTTATTGTGCATGTTGGTAATATGTTGGTAATAAATTAATATTGCAAATAAAAGGCTGTTATGTCGGATTTAAATGTGCAAAAAAATATATTTTCCCTCACCTGCATAAAAACACGTTTTAATTTAAGGTAACAAGTAACACAACTCAGATCTAAGGGGTATTAATGTTATCCTGTTTTTTGTTATTACCTTAGTAAACTGATGAGGGCTAATAGCTATGATAGCTCTCCCTGCCTAACTAAAAGATATAAAAAGATCATCACATCTTTGACAACTACCAAACAACTCTTTATCTTTCAGGGTACTATTATAGCATAAGCAACAGTTCATATGATACCTGCCAGTGTAAAGTTTCAGCTGTCAACAAATTAAGAGTGACATATATATACCTCCCAAAATTGGTGTAAGACATTTTTGATTTGCATTTCTGTTTGTTTGATCCATTGCTCCTCTTTCATGTATGTCAAATTATTTTCTTTGAGAAAGACACTAAACCTCATTGCCTCCAAACATCTTGTATGGCAGCCATGTTGCCTTGAAAAGTAAATTGCAAAACACATTGTCTGCTAATTGTAGCATATCCATATTTAATCTAATTGTTAGCTTCTTTACAATTGTTTGAGCAGGAGATGTAATGTGGTGTTTTTGTGTGTAAAAATCCAGTAGAATGCCAACGTACCACATAAAATTTGCATATGACACTATAAAAAGTACAGGATACAAATAATCACATTTCAAACAGTCAACAGCCACAAACACCTGGACATGTACAGCCCCACCTGCTTTTTATACATCCAATAGCAAGCCTGTGCAAATTACTGTATAAACAAGTAAATCCATCCATTTGCATCTATATTTTATAACTCCTGTTTCAGTCTCAGGATGTTTTCATCTCTGGACCACTTCTGACTCTTCAACCTGACTGAATTGTTAAAAGCAACAACCATGGAATACATTGAGTCTGGTTCTGTTAGAGGTTTCTTCCTGTAAACGAGGGAGTTTTTCTCTCCACAGTCACCAAAGTGCTGCTCATTGTGGGAACTGCTGGGTTTCTCTATATTAAATACGATTTTAAGGTCTTGACCTTCTATATAAAGTGCCTTGAGATAATGTATATTGTGATTTGGCGCTATACAAATAAAATTGAAACGCAAGGACACATTTCAGCCTGATGGTGTACATCCAAAGTTCACTGGATCCAGACAGCTCCAGACAGCCAAACTGCATCATGCCCTTGGAAGGCCCTTTGTGCTAAATCATGTCTCTGTGCCAACCATGGGCCAGCAGGCCCCTTCCCCTCCCCATCTTCATCACCAATCAGGGAATTGATTAAAGCTGCTACACTAAAACTCAGTGAGATTTCAACCTTATAAGAGAAGGTGTCACCAGATATGATAATGCTAATTCTGAAAGGAGACTTTATTATTTATGGTAATATCCAGAATGATCCTGAAGCTACAGAGGTTATACATTTTTCTCAAAGCTTTGAGCCAAACCATAGTGATAACAGAAGGGTTAAACATGGGGAATTTTTCAGTATGTGAATTACCTATCTCTGATCATCACTCTGTATTTTATGATTTCACTGGAAACATTGCATAGACCAAAAGATAAATTCTGGTTGTAAAGAGACTCATTGATAACCAGGATGAAGCTAAGTTTTGTGATATAATGAAATCAACTGAACCATACAGTCATGACTGCTCTTCAAATGACATGGTTAACCATTTGAATAACACCCTGTTGTCTGCCTATATCTACAAAGAAGCCATGATTGTGATTTATTACAGAGAAATACATATGGCAAGGAATTATTACTTCATCAAGATCAGTGAATCCGGGGAACTCTAAAGTATAATTATCCATTATTCAGCAACTAGCCCCACCCACCTGCAGCTCTCTCCACTAAATTGTGAAGAACTGGCCCTTTTCTTCAAAAACAAAGTCACCTTAATCAGAGCCAGTATTACTTCTGACGTAAAGACAACAAATCCTGTAAAAATAATGCAACCAGGGCAAAATTGACCTTCATTTCATTAAGTGAGCTTTGTGAGACCGTCTCTGAACGTCACTTCGCCACCTCATGCGTGGAACCTGTGCATGCAATATTCCTGATTTCAAGTAATTATAAACACAACACACTTAACCTTGACTATAATGCATTGACCAGCTACAGGCCAATATCCAACCTCTATTCATTAGTAAGATACTTATGTCAGTGCACATAAACTCAGAGAACAATATTCCGGAGGACTTTAATTTTGGCTTTAGAGCTTATCATGGCACTAAAATAATCAGTGAGCTCACACTAAAATCTGATGAAAACAGTTTAAATTCTAATCCTCCTGGACCTGAGTGCTGCTTTTCATATGATTGACCACTAGATCCTTATCATTCGCCTTAAGTATTTGGTTGGTCTGTCTGACAGTTTCCTAAACTGGTTCAAAACAGGAAGGAGGAAGTTTTATTTCAGCATTGGAGATCAGGTGTCTGACAAGCCCGAGAGCTGTTTTGGGGTTGCACAGGGGAGCTGCCTTGAACCTTCATTATTCTCACTGCACAATGTTTGTTTCCAGCGTTATGCATATTATACAAAACTGTATATTGCTGCTGAGCAAAATGATGATGATGCTTTGTGGTGAATGTCTTTCAGCAATAAATACATGGATGAGCAGTAATTTCTGAAGCTTAATGAGGCTAAGACCGAAATCCTTTCAGTGACCAAAACCTAATTTTTCCACTTTGGATAAATCCGACAGTTGCTGAAAAGCTGATTCATGCCTTCAATTCCAGAGAGATTCCAGCTCATCCAGAACTCTGCTGTTCGACTCTTAAATAGAACCAAAAGGAGAAAACACATCAGTCCAGTTCTAGCTGCTCTGCACTGGTTGCCTGTTACACACAGGATTGACTTTAAGGTTCTCCTCCTTTTGTACAAAGCTTTGAAAGGGCTAAGACCAAGTTACATAGCTGACTTTCTGAATATTCTGAAATCTCATATTCTAGCTTCTTTTCTCAACATTTTACGACAACTGTGTGAAGCTTTAAATATTTGCTTTAACAATTTTTCAGTCTATATATCTACTCTTCATTACAACTCAAAGTACACTACAAGTCACATTCAGCCATCTCCACACATTGTTAGAGTTCAGCGTCTTGCCAGAAGATACTGAAGCATGCAGACAAGAGGAGCCAGGGATCGAACATCGTGGGCCACAGCCCACCAAAGTTAGAGAGCTTTCTTACTCTGCCCCATACATTGATAAAGTATTATTGTAATTTGCAAATAAGGCAAATGGAATAAGACATTATATTGTTTATTATTGGTAGAATTAAGGTGAATTATTTTCATAATAAGTGCTTACAGAGAAACATAATGATGAAACTTAAGGACTATCCATATCTATTTAGAAGAAAGGTAGCCCCAGTTTTAAAATAAATTAAAACCACAGTTAGTTGTTACTCATTAAACCCACTTGTTTAACGTTTCTGGTGGTCCTGAAGCTTTTATCAATAAAAAATAAAGTCTGTAAACACAACTGCTTAATATTAAACAGTATACAATGACACAGATTACTTTATTTTAATGGCCACATCATTTTTTAGAGCTCTGCTTGTCTCAGTAATGGCTCAGACGTTGGTTAGTTTTATTCTGAAAGTTTCTTTCCTTTCTTCGTGCTTCATTGCCTGGTTTTACTTATTTTCAAATGACAAATTTGTTTCACGGCTCACATTTAATCCTCAGAATATAATTTTTTAGACTATTTCTCCACCATTAACCAATACAGACAAATAGCAGTAAGTGCAGTAACAGTTCATTTATAATGATATTAATCTGTATGAACACATTTTAGTTCCACAATTTTTTAGTTCTCTCCATATTGTTGGCATAGTTACTGTTACGTGCCAGGCAGTGGGCATTGTGCTGTGTGTGTCAGTGTGTGTGTGTGTCTTTCCCTTACTGCTCCTCCCTGTTTTCTCTACAGGTGAGATGGGAGTGGTCCTTTCCTCCACTGAATTAGAGCGTGTCCAACCGGCAGTGGGGGGGGGTCTACAAAAGGAGCACACCTGAGAGTCTCGTTCCTTTTTGTTCTCTCTGGCCTCAGCCTGTGTGCAGCACCCATGATTTTCTGTTGTGTTGGTATGATAACAAACTTGCTAAAATACCATGGTAGCTGTGGTGGGAAGGAAGGACTAGGTAAGTTGGGTACCCTATACATTCACTCACATAGGTACTCCTTTTTGTTTAGACACAAGTCAGTTTGGTTGTTGCCACCTTTGTATTTATTTCAATGAAGCTATTTTTTAGATTATCAGATTAGGCCTTTTGGTTGGGATGTGTGTTTAAGCAGTAGCAAATAGTCAGGCCTAGTTTTGTTATATTTATTATTTCCTTTGTTCCTCCTTCCCCCATTTTCTGTGATTGTGAGTTCTGTTTGCATTTATAATTTGCACTTATAATTTTTAATTAAAATAAA